TACCACTATAATCAACTCATATGTGCTAGTGTCGGGCTGTTGGTTCCTAGGAACTGAGCTGCTTGACCCTCAAACATCGAATACGACGGGAGAGTTCGCTATATATATATATATATATATGAAGAAAATTTGGAAAAAACAAACAAAAATCCTTAAATGCAATTATGTTGTTTAAAATGAATGAAATGTCGACGTCTGACGTTTCGGTTTAATAAACCTTTTTCAAGACAATATTCATTAAAATACAATAACAATTCAGATAACTGAAAATTTTTAAAATGATCAGCTTTCCGTTTAACAAGGTCTGATCATTTTAAAAATTTTCAGTTATCTGATTTGGATAAGACTTGTTTTTTATGTCCATTGTCTTTGTCAAATTGAACTGAATTGTATTTTAATGAATATTGTCTTGAAAAAGTTTTATTAAACCGAAACGTCAGACGTCGACATTTCATTCATTTTAAACAACATAATTGCATTTAAGGATTTTTGTTTGTTTTTTTCCAATTTTTTCATTCATTTATATCCATTTTTTATATCCATTTATATATATATATATATATAATGGACTCTCCCTTCGGTTTCGACGTATGAGGATCTGACAACTTAACCAATTGATTCAGTTATGAAATTTTGCGCGATAATCTTAAGTGCCACGTAAGACCCGCTAGTTATTTAAAAAGGAGGCTGCATTTAGAGCAAGAGTGGGATGAGATCACTGTTAGATTGGCTGACCTTTTACACCTTGCTCTCGCTTCTTGAAGACGATTCAGACAAGCAGATTGTAAACTGCTGAGTCCACTAAAACACGTTGATCTCCATTCTACCCGCTCCAAGGCTAAGCGCTCAAGGGTGTTATGTGGTATATTGACAGTTGTCAAGTTGCTCTTCAGCTTGTCTTTATATCTTAGCCATGGGCGTCCTACATTCCTGTAGCCCTGATCTAACTGGCTGTACATTAGGATTTTGGGTATCCTGTCATCAGACATTCTCAAGATATGACCAGTCCATCGTAACTGAGACTGTATGAGAAAAGTCTTAATTCCTCAATATTACATCTGCTAAACAGTTATATATATATATATATATATATATATATATATATATATATATATATATATATATACACAACTCATATTATTTATAAATTCACATGTCCCTTAAAAAATAATTCATGAATAATTATATTGGATATACCACTACATTCCTATCAAGAAGACTCACTTTGCATCTCTCTGATCATAGTTCACTTAGAAAATGCCAACACTCAGTAACATTAACTATGAATACGGTCACAAGGTGCTGACCGTGTTTGGAAGATAAAAACATAACTAACAATAGCTGGCCACTCGTATTCGAGGATACCCGTCTATTAGGGCAGCTAGCCAATCCCTATTGCAGATGCTCGCTCAGGCACATTTGTGTTTGTTCAGCACACAGGGAACCCACCTGTGGTTTATACAACTATGCTGAGCAGACCTTTGTTATAGTTTCTGGGAGAGAGCGTGTTATCTAGCAATCTGAACAACGCCAGCACACTCAAACCCTCGGTCACGATGACTTGTGACTGCGTGCTAGCACAGCTATCGACGGCCTCCAATTTGACTCACTGTGAAATTAGGTAGACTGAACCCTTGGATCGGGGTGGTGGAGGCGTCTAACCAAGTATTAGGTTAACCCGTGGTATGGTTTTCATCAGGAAGTCTACTGCCTGACAAATCAACCGTTGTGAGATTCGAACCCGGATCTCATGGTCAGAAAACGAACGTTCACGCGCCCATATAACTATGACTCTAGATACATACATAAAAAAACATAGATTCAGTTAAAAGTAAAAATAAAATCATCTTTGTTAATGGTTAAAAGAATAGATGAAAGCACTGGTACTTCCTGTTAGGGCCCCAGCTATGGGCAAAATAGTGAATGCTAAACTAAAAACAAAATACTATGAACATATAAAAATACATATTCATTGTAAAAATAACAGCAATACATTTTTATATAGCAAAATTACCAGCAATAGCGGTACTAGTAAAATGACTAACAATATATTTTTAAAACAAAATGGCCAACAATGCATTTTATCTATAGTCGAAGGCATACAATTACTTTTAAAATATATTTGGTTGAAGCAATAAAAATGTGTTCAAAATATTTAGATTTCGACATTAAATAACCGACAGAGGTTGATATGCCGCTAAACAAAATCACTCAACCATACACACTCCTTCACACAGCACAAGCTCGCACATACAGCACTAAATCATTCCTTCACATACATACACATTTGCACTCAAACTTACATATTGAAAGTGAACAGATATATTACGTGCGAGTCCCACACACGCAAGCACGCACGCACATACACACACACAATCTATACACACGCATAAACTCACACTGAACACACACACACAAATGCACAAACACAAAAATACATATAGTAGCACATACAGCCAAAGGTGCTTACATATACATGCGCACACAATCATGTCCCCAAAACAAACTCTTTTTTACTTGCATGCACATCATCACGCAACACACACACACACACATTTAAATATATATATACGCGCACGTACGAAAATTTTCCAGTTACACATACTAATACACCCATTCACACGCAAACGCAAATAGATATATACAACTGCACACACATACATTGAAATGCAAACTCTCTTTCTCTCTCACGCAATACACATACGCACGCATGCACATTGACTCAAACGTATATACGTATATGCATTCACAAGTGTACGCATTTACCCATGCACACACGTAAACACACACTAAAATGTTTTCTTGCGTACACTGTCCGCCTTCTCTCTCTCTCTCTCTCTCTCCATATATATATATATATATGGGGGGGAGAGAGAGAGAAAGTTTTAAAGAGCGGGTAGGAGGTGAAAGAGAGAGTAGGCGAAAATGAACGTCTGCTTGGATGCCCGTTGGGGTCTGATAATATTATCAGGTAAAAACGAATCCCCGGGGCGTATTTTGTAATTTATTTTAATGTGTAACTCCGGCGATTTGAAGTTGCTTTTTAATCAGGCTACGAAATTAAAGATGCAGCAAGTAACACACGATGAAAATTATTTTCATTAAGCGTTCATCGATAAATTATCCGGTCAATAAATTGTCTCGGAGTTATCTGAAGACGGTCAGGGCGGGCAAGGGTGGGTTGACTTGGGGAGACGATCGTTTCGGGACAGAGAGATACGTACTCATTGGAATGCTCATCACACCTGCGTTTTATTCGAGTTATTTAGATTTTGTTGCTGAAATGTGTTTCTTTTGCTTTTTGACGTGGTTTTTATGAACCGTTTGTTGAGAAAACTTCACCGCGGATAATGACAATAATAAAAATATTATCGGATTTATTATTGTTGCTCTGCAAGAGAGTCATGGCGGAGACGCTCCAAAAATGGACGACAGGGGATGTGAATTAAGGTAATTTTTTAATGAGACAATTATGTTAAATGATAAATAATACGCCCCCTTTCCTATAATAGTTGTGATAATTATGTGTATACGAGGGGATGCTGAAAAATTCGTGTCCCGAAAAACAGGCCTTGCAAAAATTTGGATATTTCGTAAGATTTAGGGACACGTACCCGGTTGAGAACTGTACGGAACCCTCGTCATACTTGGTACAAGAATATCATTTTTTTAATAATATCAAGGAGAGGAAAAAAGAAAAAGGGATTAGAAGAAGAAGAAGAAGAAGAAGAAGAAGAAGAAGAAGAAGAAGTGTAGAGAGAAGAAAAAAGAAAAAGAAAAACATATCAAGAAGAAAAAAGTATTGAGAAGAAAAACATCAGGAAAGAAGAAAGCAGAAAATGTCCAAGAAAAAAGAAAGAAGAAATATTAAGAAGAAAAATATAACGCAAAAAAAGATCTCAGAGAAGAAGAACAGGAAGAAGAAGATGAAGAGGAGGAGGAGGAAATATTAAGAAGAAGCAGAGGGAAGAAGAAAAATATTAAGAAGAAGAAGAAGAAGAAGAAGAAGAAGAAGAAGAAGAAGAAGAAATGTTAAGAAGAAGAAGAAGAAGAAGAAGAGGAGGGGAAGAAATATTAAGAAGAATCAGAGGGAAGAAGAAGAAGAATTATTAAGAAGAAGGGGAAGAAAAAGAAATATTGAGAAGAAAAAGAAGAAATATTAAGAAGAAGAAGAAGAAGAAGAAGAAGAAAAAGCAGAAATATTAAGAAAAAGAAATATTAAGAAGAAGAAAAAGATATATTGAGAAGCAGCAGCAGAAATATTACGAAGGAGAAGAAGAAGAAATATTAAGAAAAAGAAAACATTAAGAAGAAGAAAAGAAATATTAAGAAGAAGAAGAAATATTAAGAAAAAGAAGAAGAAGAAATATTAAAAAGAAGAAGAAGTAGAAATAATAAGAAGAAGAAGTAGGAGGAGGAGGAGAAGGTGGAATATGAGGAAATGTCAATAAAAAGAGTCATTAGAAAAAATGAAAGAGTTTGGGAAAGATGGATAAGAACTATTAAGAATTCTAGGAAGAAGAAAAAGAAAATATTAGAAAAGAAGAAAAATGCTGAAAACTCTAAGAAGAAGAATGAAACAAAGAAGAAGAAGAATGAAAAGAATAAGACGAAGAAGAGGAATGAAAAAAGAGGAAGAAGAAAAAAAAGAAGAAGAAATAGCTAATGATGAATGAGTCAAAGATAATACTGAAAAAGAAAACAAATATGGCGGAAACAAGAATGGCAACCAGTCTACCGCAGAAATAAACGGCAACCTACTACGGGAAAATCTTCTGGCTAGTCATTCACGAATCGAAATAGAGATGATCATACAGGCGAATATCATGTATCGCATCTGACTATTTATTTATTCTCCCTCCATCTATGGGTTGAATAGTAGGACAGACTGGGTTCTAAAGCCTTGATTAGCAAAAAGAAATGGTAACCTACTGCGGGTAAATCTTCTGCCGCTGAGTCAGCTACGAATCATTACATCCAATTACGCACAAAGTCATGGCATACGGCCACATCAAGCTGAATCACCGTTTCTCGTACGACCACCGAAGTTGAGCAACGTCGACTCTGATCAGTACCTAGATGGGTGACCGCTTGGGAATACCAGGTACTGTAAGCTTGGATGTGCGGGTGGTGTAATGGACAATGGTTAGGAATTGTTATTCGGAGAGCCGAGTTCCAATTCCATTTGGGTTCGTTCTATTCACTTACGCTCAAATACACTTGGGAAAGGGTGATTGGAGGTTAACTATTTGTCCATACTTGAGACCCTAACAGGTGCTACCAATCCGGATGAGGGAAGAGGACCTGGGTGCAACAAAAATTAAGAAGTAGTTACACGTTTCTCAAAACCCCCCGATCTTTAAGTAGTTTATCGTCATACCCAGGACGGGTAATTAGTCTAACGAGAACCATTCTAACCATTTCATTCCAGAGGACGCCGTAGTTCTTTTGAGCGTGATATTAGGGTTACAGGGAAGAGCCACGTCGATTATTATTATTACTACTAGTAGTAACGGTACTAATAGTAGTAGTAGTAGTATTTTAAAATAATGTAATTTTATTTTACATTTAAATGTGTGTTTTTTTTTTTTGTTTTGTTTTTTTTTTCATTTACTTTCCTCGTGTTAAAAATAAACTTTCGCGCTTTTGTTTTGAAATATTTCGCTTATGGTCTGAAAATAAATATTTTTTTTTTGTCTGAACTGCAATTATCTCGCATTTGTGATAAAGATTTTATAGCTCCGAAGAAAAAGACGTGTCATCAATTATGTTTAGCCTTGTGTGTACTTAGCGTTTTTAATAAGCAAATCATTAAAATAATAAATATTCAGAAGGCTTAGATCTATTCGGACAATAGGCGATTACAATACAATAGATATGATTAGAAAGAAAGAAAGAAAGAAAGAAAGAAAGAAAGAAAGAAAGAAAGAATAGAAAATTTGAAAAGAAAGAAAGGAAATAATTTTAAAAAATAATCAATAAATGAAAGGGAAAAAATAATTGAAAAAGAAAGAGAAAGAGAAGAACCTGGAGCCAAAGAAAGAAAAGAAGTAAATGGAAAATAAACAAAGCTTAGAGAAGAAAGAAAGGAAGACAGACAGAAAGAAAGAAAGAAAGAAAGAAAGAATCATAAGAGGTGAAAAAGTAAGGAAAAAAGAAGCTTAGAAAGAAAGAAAAAAAAAAGAAAAAAGAAAGAAAGAAAAAAGAATCATAAGAAGTGGAAAAAAAAGAAAGAAGCTTAGAAAGAAAGAAAGAAAGAAAGAAAGAATCATACGAGGTGAGAAAGAAAGGAAGAAATAAGCTTAGAAAGAAAGAAAGAAAGAAAGAAAGAAAGAAAGAAAGAAAGAAAGAAAGAAAGAAAGAAAGAATCATAAAAGTTTAGAAAAGAAATGAAGAAAAGGCATAGTGTAAATAAATAAAGGTTGGTAAATTCGAAGAGTAAAAATGGAAATAACTTCAAAAGAAAGATTTAAAGAACTTAATGAAAAAGAGAATGAAAAACGGTTCGCAATGTAAGAAATGACATTTCAAAAAAAAAAATGAAAGAAATTAAAAGAAATTTCAAAAGAAAGAAAGAAGAAGGAAAGAAAGAAGCACAGAGAATCAATGAAGAAAACTTGATGAAAGAAAGAAGCGAGCACGATAAAGAAAGGGGGAAATAAATAAATAAATAAGTACAAAGAATAATTGATGGAAAAAAGGAAGAAAGAAAGAATTATAGACGAGAAAGAAAGAAAGAAAGAATCATAGAGGATAAATAAATAAATAAATAAAGAAAGAAAGAAAGAAGGAAAAAGAAGCATAAACGATAAAGAAAGAAAGAAAGAAGCATAGACGATAAATAAAAAAGAAAGAAAGAAAAAGAAAGACAGAAGCAAACTGTGAAATAACGGAAATAAAAAAAACAATGAAGAGACCCATGTAAATACAACATTTTTATCTTTTGAAAGTTATCATTTATTAACAATCAATAATGAACAATAGTTTCAGGGGAATTTATTTATCTACTTTTTTTTCGGCATACACACACACACACACACACACGCACGCACGCACGTGCACGCTCGCGCACACCTGCAAGTGTTTAGTGTAATTCATTTTCAAACGTAAATCCTTATTTTATTAATGTCAAAACCACACAAGATTGATAAACAAGCAAAGAAAAAAAAAGGGTCGTGTAACAATTAAAACAAAAAAACAGATTTGATGAGCATCGAGAAATGTTTGTTAAAAAGATAGAAAAAACTTAACAGGACAAATCGTGTCACGCTTTTCGTGTTTTGAGAAACGGACACAATGGGACAATCGTTTGTGAAAAGAGGAGAAAGGAATTTCAAAAATCCATTTTAAGTTAATATCAATGACGAGGATGATGAAATCGATTGGAAATAACAGCATTCAGGATAAGAAATAAATATATACGAGAAGCGGGTCAATAACTGCAACGCTTCTGGGCCCAGTTTTGATCTAAAATGTTTCATGGTTTTTGTCGAACAGTGGGAGTGAAGAAAGATCATTCCGAAAAAATTGGTTGTGTAAAATAAAGTTGTTTCTCTGTGTCGCGTCAGAAAGTTATTCTCGGCCGAGTCCATCCTTCAAACCTTACATGGAATGCTGCTGCCATATATGGTCTGTAGCCCCTGTAGTTCGACTTAAGATCCTCGACAAAATACAGAGACGGATATGCAATGCAATTGGCTCTGACCTGGCATCTCGTTTACAGTCGCTCTCTCATAAACGTACCGTCGCTTCCCTCTGTCTTTTCTACAAACACTTTCACGCTAACTGCTCCGATGAGCTATTTTCGTTAGTCCCCAAACTGCATGAATTTAAGCTTGCTACTAGGTTGGTATCTCAGTCCCACCCTTTCACAATCAAAATGGTTAAATCTAATCGTCTCTTCTACTCCAATAGCCTCATATCTCGCACTTCCTGTCTGTGTAACTCCCTTCCTCTTACTTGGTTTCTTGATAGCTATAATCTCCAACTATTCAAATGCAATGTCAATCGACATCTCCAAATGTCCTTCTCTTCATCATTTCCTCTTTCACGCCTCTTGCTCGCACTGTCTGAAAACCCTTGCGTGTTGTGGCACTGCCGTTTAAAAAATAAAGCAGCAGAAATTAATACACAGGGTGGCTGGAAAGAAACTCCTTATTTAAAAGAGTCAATAACTTTATTAATTATTGGTCGATTTTCATAAAAAAACATTTTATTTGGAACACTATAACAGTAAAAGTAAACTACAATTCTTACTAAGCTTCTATCTTTTGCCTAGTGTCTTTCAATCTGCATGTTGAAGGATGACCGCTTCTATGGGTGTCTACCACAGATTCTGTACGCAGGGAAAAATGGTTTCTAATGGTTCTAACATCTACTGAACGAAGAGATATAAGAAAACGGCAACACCATCTCTGATCTTCTACCACGGAATGCACCAGACTTCATAACAATTCCTCAAGTGTCAGGTGGTGTCCAATTATGGGATACACTTTTCATTCTGAATTAAAAGAAAAATAAATTAACCATGAAATTCTATCACTATAAGGATCACGATATATTTTGTTTCAAGGAAATATCCTGATATCATATCGCTATATTTGCATGATTGTATATATATATATATATATATATATATATATATATATATATATATATATATATATATAGAGAGAGAGAGAGAGAGAGAGAGAGAGAGATGGATAGATAGATTATTCCTAAATTTTCGCTTGAGGATGAAAGAGGGCTGGATACTTTAATTCAATTTAATTTTAATAATTATATTGAGATTTTTGGCTCTTGTTTTTGAAACATGAGAACTCTTATGTAGCGAAGGAACAATATTTTTAAAAATAATTTTAATTTAAGCTCTACTTCTGTAAGGAGCACTGTTTTTTAAAAATAAAAACAAAAATACTAAAGAACTCGGATTATTTTTCCTAACGTGTTATTTCCTATTTTCCTACATATTTGCATATATATATATATATATATATATATATATATATATATATATACATATATATATATATATATATATACGGGGCCTAACAACAAAGTTGTCCAAATCTTGTAGTACAGTAGTTTCAATTATTTTCTGTAATTGTGCAGTCCACTCGTCAAAAGATTTGTGTGTGTGTGTGTCCAAATCGAACAAACACACACTTGTTGAAACAAAATGGCTTTTTTTGGGATTTTATAACATTATTTATATTTATATATATATATATATATATATATATATATATATATATATATATATATATATATATTAACAGCAAAATTGTCCATATCGTGTAAAAACTATATTTATCCACAAATTAATTGATTTTTTTCTTTTTTCAAAAAGACGTTTAACCATCTTGACATCTTTTGTCGTAAGAATCACTGAAAAACCCGTTTGAGTTATTCAGCCAGAAAGAGAACAGTTTAAAATCGTTTTGTGTCAACCCCACTGTCTTCCCAAATGAGCAATGGTGGGAGGAAAAAGATATTCAGGTTTACAGTAATTGTGAATATTCATACACTGGTTTCCATCTTCAAGATCCATTCAAGAACCATCAAGAGAACGAGGAATAAGTCTTACAAAGATCAAACTGTAGAGTGGAAAACTGGATCAGAGGGTCACAACAGGAAAAAGGATTATCAGTTCAAGTTATAACTAAAGAGACCAGTTAGAAAAGATCCAAATCATTTCATGAAACGTCTGGCACGTGAGAGAGGAGTTTCAGCTATGACAGTCCAAAGAGCAGTGAAAAAAGACTTGAAAATATAATCGTACGTGAAACCTGTGAGACAACTTGATACTCCAGGACAGGAAAGTCAGAAGGTTAGAGAGGGCGAAGATTATCTTGAATAAGTTGGAAAAGGATCCTGGAATAATATATATATATATATATATATATATATATATATATATATATATATATATATATATATATTTGAACTTTATTTCAATCCTTCATAGGCTTCAATTCTTAGCTATGATTAATTAATGATGAACATATCATTTTCATTTATGATCGATTCCATCACGATTCTTCCGTTAAAAAATTGCTTATTCTTTTTCTTTAAAGTAGAGTTCGATAGTGTTATAAAAACCTTGTATATATATATATATATATATATATATATATATATATATATATATATATATATATATATATTCTAGGGAAAAGGTGTTTTTAAAAAACAGCGTTCCTTCTCTTCAAATAAAATTGAATTGAGTTCCCCGCTGACGTATTTCGTATAGAAAGACGTTTAAATCCCCTTCCTTGGCTGCCATGCGACAATGGTCTAGAGGTAAGAGATCAGACGGATTTCGATCCCGGCTTGAAGTAATCGAACGTCTAGCCACACTGAGGAGCTGTGATACAGCAAAACAGTCAGTCTATATATATATATATATATATATATATATATATATATATATATATATATATATATATATATATATATATATATATTGTTATTCGTATTATCACAACTACAATCGAAAAGAATTTATCTAAACTCTACAAAAAATGTGTCACAACTACATCTAAATCTATAAAATACTTAATCAATACAAAAAATACAAGCCAAAACTTGAAGAAGGAATCTGCTCTATCACCTGCAAGGATTGCCCGAAAGATTATATTGGAGAAACCTCAGAAGATAAATAAAAGATTATATGAACACAAAAGAGATATTTTAAAAAACAACAAATTAAGTCCATTGATTGTTCACCATAATGAAAGTGACCGAAATTTTGATATAAAAAAAGATGTTACTCTAATTAAGAGAGAAAATAATTCACTCAGACGAAAATGTTTAGAAAGTGCTTTAATCGCTAATTCATTCACAGTAAATTTGTGTCCAGGTTCTTACAACGTTTCACCATTCTTGGGAGACCTTTTGTTATCACATCGTTGAATATTTAATAATAAAGATGATGAAAGCAAAAAAAAAAAAATAATCTAGATGAAATTGACTAGATTATATGGCGAAAACGCATTAAAATGTTTTTCTAAATTTAAAATTCCCAGCGTTACTCGTTCGTGCGCACGTGTAGTTGCATCAACGTAAACAAACTCAGTCCGTCATACACGAAAACGTTTTCCACTTCGTCATACATCTTTGCACCAAAACAGTTCATGATATATAAAACTTTATATATATTTATCCCATATACAGGGTGTATTAAAAATATTTTTACAAAGTTTGGGGGCGCGTTCCTCACACCAAAACAAGGACATAAGTACATATAAACATATCTCCGAAAATCCTTCATTTTTTAAGTTTAAAGAATGTTTACGGTAGAAGGCGCTGTGTTGCTATGTAGACTAGGTTACATTTGTCTTTCGTGTATATTAGTGGCTAATCTGTCTTCAACGTGTGTAGTAGCGAGTTAATTAAGACGTGTTCCGTTTAACAATGACAGGACATTCATATCTTGAGCAGGCAGATATGATTTTTACATACGGCCGCGCGACTGGTAATGGATGTGAGGCTGCACGTATGCATCAAATTGCTTTTCCAAATCCGAGTCATTCAATCTTTGCTGTTGTTTATCGTCTCTTTGCTGAGACAGGATCCGTGACACGACAAACTATGAAATGAGGAAGACAACGATCTACTTGTACTCCTACCCACGAAGAACACATTCTGCAGGCTGTCGGGGACGATTCGGATATAAGCATATGTCAAATGTCCCTAGTATATTGTACATCTTTTAGTACTGCATGGAGGGTACTTCAAGAGCAGCTCCTGCATCCGTATCATTTGAAACGTATTCAGAGTCTTTCTCCCTCTGATCACTCACCACAGAAGAGCATTTGCCGATTGTTTATGGCACAAACTACTGATCCGTTGTTTGTCTCTTCAGTCTTCTTTACGTATGAAGCAACATTTTGAGGAGATGAAATAACAAATTTACACAACTAACATTTGTGGATGGATCCGAAACCCCATAGTACAATAGAGGCTAGACAACATCATCAGTTTACAATTAATGTGTGGTCTGAAATTGTATATGACTGTCTGGTAGGTCCATATTTCCTTTCAGTACGTCTTAGACGATGAGTCTGCAAGGATTTTTATTTAGAACCTACTTCTAGACCTGCTAGAGGATGTACCCCTGCTAATACGAAGATGCGTGTAGTTCATGCATGGTGAGGCTCGAGCACATTTTAGTCACATTGTTCGTGATGCACTGGCTGATATCTACCATGAAAGATGGAGAGATTGGGGAGGACAGGTTCCATGTCCTGCATGTTTCTCCGCCCCCAACCCTTTGGATTTTTATTTGTGGGGTCCACCTAAAAATTGGTTTATGCAACAGATATTAATAATACAGAGACGCTTAATCAACGTGCCATGGAAGCCTGCGAAACCATTCGACACCGAGTGGGCGGATTTAAAAGGGTCCGCCAGTCAATGATCCGACGGATGTATGCGTGTGTAGTAGCAAGTGGAAGGTTTTTTGAACAATTATGAGTTGCTGTGTTGAGGTACAACGAGGGCCTTTTGGACATATGTTTATAGGGACATTTTACCTTGTTTTAGTGTCAGGAAACCGCTTCCAAAGTTTGTAAAATACTTTTGGGTTGGATCTTGCATTGTATATTTAACAGTGTCTATCGTAAATTTTAAACTTAATAAATCAAATACTAAGGATTTGTAGGCATATACTTATATGGACTTTTGTATTATGTGAGAAACCCGACCCTAAAGTTTGTAAAAGTATTTTTGATGCATATATATATATATATATATATATATATATAGAGAGAGAGAGAGAGATCGATAGATATGATAAAGTTGTTTATATTAAATTTTATATTATTTTTTTACTGCAAATATTATATATATGTGTGTGTGTGTGTCTCACTCTGCGCGCATGTGTGTGAGTGTGTGTGTCTCTGTCTCCATGCGCGTGTGAGTGTGTGTGTGTGTGTGTGTGTGTGTGCATGTCTGCCTCTCCGTATCTATCTATCTATCTATCTATCTATCTATCTATCTATCTATCTGCATGTGTATGCCTCTCTCTGCGTGTGTGTGTGTGTGTGCGTTTGTGTCTGTTTCTCTTTGTGCCTGTGTGTACGTTTTGTGAGTGCGTGTGTCTCTGTGTGTATGTCTCTGTGTGTCCCTTTCTCTCTGCGCGTGTGTGCATGAGTGTGTGTGTATGTCTCTCACTCACTGCGTGTGTGTGTCTCCCTGCGTGTGTGTGAGCGTGTGTCTATGAGTCTCACTCTGCGCGCGTGTGTGTACGACCTAAAAATTTCTCCAAGAGTTTAAAGTAAATTAATCAATTTATTTCGCTAAAAAATGAAATATATTTATCGCGACATAAAATGCAACAAACTTAAATATGTCGAACAATTTCCTTTCACGAAGCTAGATAAAAATTCATACAGTGCAAAGTGTAATTTTCAATAACAAATTTAAATGTAAACTCCATGTTATATTTAAATCTCTTAGAATTTTTATTTCATATTTAAATCAATAAAACTTCAGTGGGGTATCAATTCTCCATAATATTTTTAAATGAATATCGTAATCATTTTAAAAGCACCGATATATTTTTACGAGCATAATGTAAATATAATATTGTTGCGTTAATAATTAAACATATATATACATGAGTGCGAGTTTATGTGCTTGCTATCTATCTATCTATCTATCTATCTATCTATCTATCTATCACTGTCTTCTCATATCAATCTATCTATCACTGTCTTCACATATCTATCTATCTATCTATCTATCTATCACTGTCTTCACATATCTATCTATCTATCTATCTATCTATCTATCTATCTATCACTGTCTTCGCATATCTATCTATCTATCTATTTATCTATCTATCTATCTATCACTGTTTTCTCATATCAATCTATCTATCTATCACTGTCTTCACATATCTATCTATCACTGTCTTCTCATATTTATCTATCTATCTATCTATCTATCTATCTATCTATTTATCTATCACTGTCTTCACATATCTATCTATCTATCTATCTATCACTGTCTTCACATAACTATCTATCTATCTATCTATCTATCTATCTATCTATCTATCACTGTCTTCTCACATCTATTTATCTATCTATCTATCTATCACTGTCTTCATATATCTATCTATCACTGTCTTCTCATATCTATCTATCTATCTATCTATCTATCTATCTATCTATCTATCTATCTATCTATCACTGTCTTCACATATCTATTTATCTATCTATCTATCTATCTATCTATCTATCTATCTATTACTTAATAGCTCAAAAGCGAAGGATTTGTGGACATGTTTACATAGTCTTTTGTCCTTATTTTGGTGTGAGGAACACGCCCCCCCCCAAAGTTTGTCAAAATATTTTTGATACCCCTGCATAGAAACCAGTCAATGTTGAAAATGTATCCACTTTCCAAAATCTCACAAAATGACCAATCATCAACCTCTTCTTAGATGCGACGAATGACTGATTCATAGAATAGTAATTCTACCTTTGTTTCATCACTGTTTTATGCATTTTTATACTTATAGATATTTAATATGACTATTTTGTGTTTTTGGTGAGTAGTTTGTCAACCATAGAAACTAAATCAAGTGCAGCTAAATAAAATTCCGACTTTATAATGTTCCTTTAATAGTTTGATTTGTGTAAAATATTAAAATATTGTTTTTACAAGAACGAAACAATTCCCGGATGATCAAAATTTAGAATCACCCTGGTAAATTCTCGATTTTTTTGTCTTTTTCTAACAGCATAAAAGGAAGCAAAAACATTTGAATTCAGCCGACAGATACATAGGCTTGATATACAGTGATTTATGGTGGACCCAGGTTCGAATCTCACCAGGGTCGATTTGTCAGGAAGAAGACTTCTTGATGCTATCGAACTGGAGTGTTCGATCCCAGCCTGCGACACCTTTGGAAAGTGCCTGAAAAACCATACCACGGGTTGGCCCAAGCCTTGTGAGTGACATTAGGTAGACGGAACACTTGGGGCCGTTGATAGCTGTGCTAGCACGAAGTCATAAGTCATCGTGGCCGAGGGTTTGAGCGTGCTGGCCTTGTTCAAATTGTTAATCACGCTAGATAACACGCTCTTTCCCAGAAACTGTAAGTACGGTCTGCTCAGCCTAGTTGCAGTATAAACCACAGGTGGGCTCTGTGGGTTTTGAATAGACACAAATGCGCCTGAGCAAGCGTCTGCAATAGGGATTGGCTAGCCGCCCTAGTAGACAGGTAACCTCGAAGACGAGTTGCCAGCTATACTGTAGAGTTATGGCTTTCTCAAGGGTATTAATACGAATTGAACGCAGGTTGCAATTTGAGCTTAGAATTTGAACTTGGAATTTGAACGTGGTTGAATTGACAAGGCTGAGATTTGGATGGTGATATGGGCGAATATCTCTTTAATTCCCTGGGAATTGTGAATTCAAAACTTGAGTTTGATAGTGAGGTGAAGGGACAGAATTTATAGCAGCTACTAGTTTTGAAAGGTGACAAGCAAATCTGAATAATCTGCTTCGAAGGGGATTAGATAAAACTTTTAGGTAAACCTGAGCAATGGTGGAAAACTTTAAAACGAAGAAACGTCTTCGAAGAAAATCAAGTTACCATTTTCAGTGTCAGAAATTCCGACACTGATTGAATCGATAAATGTTTCATTCGTTATATTTTTGTATTAAATTAAATTTGAAAATATCCTCACAATTTATTCTTTTTAGCTAAAACATATTGAAACAGAGATTTTTGTCCGATTTCCGGACATTACCTAGAAGGCGACCGCTTGGTAATGACAAGCGCTGTGAGCTTAGATGTATGGGTGGTGTCAGAGATAATGGCTGACAGTTTGAAATCGGTGATCCGAGTTCCAATTCCAATCAAGTTCGTTATATTCGCTTACATGCAAATACTCTTTGGAAAGATATGAATCCACCTCTTGTCCCCCAGCTATGGCTTAAATAGTAGAATTTAGATTATTGTATAGTAGATCTTTTTGGAATGTCAGATGTTGTAAGCTTGGATGTACGGGTGGTGTAAGAGATAACAGCAGTTTGAAATTGGTGATCCGAGTTCAAATTCCAGTCGGATTCGTTATATTTACTTAGGCGGAAATACTTTTTGGAAAGTTATGAATCCAACACATCTCACTCAAGCTATGGGTTAAATACTACTACTGCTACTGATGCGGCATTCACCCTGGGAGGATTGAGCCGGCTTCTTCCTGTTATGAGAAGAAGATTCTTGGGATAAATTACAGAAGTAGGGTACCCAGGCCTACTCGGATAACGTTCTTGCTTGCCGCGGGGTTCCCACAGACGCAGAGATAGGAACGACCAGAAGCCGCCGGTTACCGATGCAGACGCTCCTTGGATTTTCACCAGAGCCCTTGTTAGCCAGCGTGTGTGTCAGACGAAGTTCTGGGCGGCATAGCTCTGACACTACCGTTTACACCCCACCACCGACTGTGAGGTAAGGGTTAGACTTTTGGGGGCTTACAGTACCAGGTGTTCCGAAGCGGTCACCCATCTAAGTACTGACCTGGCTCTACGATGCTTAACTTCGGTGATCGAACGAGAACCGGTGTTTCAGCGTGATTTGACCGTAAGCTACGGTCAAATATGGGTTGATTTGACCGTAGCTTACGGTCAAGTATGGGTTAAATAGTTGTACGTGATTATTATCTCAAAAAAATTCTTATAATCTCCTAAAAAAAATTTAAATAATCTGCAAAATGTTGGTAAACCGTAAAAAAAAGACGCCAATCATTTCAGCAAAAAGACGCCAATCAATTCAGCAAAAAGACACAAATATGTCGTGTAAAAAATAAAAACAATAAAAAGTGAAAACATGAAAAACGACATCAGTTTGTGCCAGGAACTGTTTTATGACATCGCAAAGAGGAAAAAAAAAAACTATTATTTACCAAAACATAGGGTTGAAAGTTTTCGATTCGACTCAGGTAATCAATTCGTCTTGGGCGGTCATTTTTATCGCGGGCACACGCGTTGCTTCTAGAAAAATTCAATCTTGAGCCAGACAACTGATAAGAGAGAGATAAAAAAAATTAACAGCCATAATGGAAGCACTCCAACTTTTCGTGTATTTATTTCTATTTTATTCAAAGCAGGATTTTGATAATTTGCCATATTGCCGACGCGGAGTCAATGTTTGATTTTTTTTTTTTTTTACTTTTTTCGACTGTCTATTCAATTTGTATTGGGTCAGCATTCGATGTTCCCAAGTCAAGAAATGACGCTTTTCGATGCAAAATTGCGTTTGATAATTCGGTTACCAATGACAGTAGATGATGAACTATAACTTAAGCCAATCATTGACTTTCATCGATTACGCTAATTCGTATCAATATTTCAGTGAAAAACATGACTGTCAGTAAAAACCCACAACTTAGAATCTGAACTTGGAATTTGGACGTGGTTGAATTGACAAGGCTGAAATTTGAACCCGGTTCGTGGATTCCACTTTTGGCATAGATAACTCATACAAGATTAAAAAAAATACCCTGACATTGTGGAGTGGCCTGTGTGATCCTATGACCCGAAGAATTATACTGGTGGAAGTTAATCTCCTGGCAGGTTCGAACCTGTCATACAGATCAATGCATAGAAGCCAGACAAAACCATAGTCACCTAGGGGAGTAAACTTGATTGGCTAAACAGACCGCTACATTGACTCGATACTTAGTGATTGATTGCGGATAATAAGTGATCCAGTCATCTAAAGCGGCATGGATCAACTAATACTAGTTAGCTGAATACGGCGGTTACTTGTAGGGGTACCTACAATATAAGTATGCAAGTAAAAGAAATACAGCATGATTTTTATTAATGTGCCGTGTCTCTTCAGGGTGTAAGCGATCATGGCTCTCCACGATTTCCTGTCCTTCGTAGCTCTTGATAAATTTTCTCTTTTTTACTATTTTTACTAAACCTTGTTCGGTCATCCATTTAATCAAGCTCACTAAGTTATGCGTTGTTTTCATCTGTCCCTCTTGCCTTCAATCTGCCCTGTGAGTATCAGATTTTCCAAGCCCTCTTTTCTCATTGTGTGTCCCAGAAATTTCAATTGTCTCTTCCTAGTGTTTAAGTATAAGGTTCCTTTTTGTTTCCATTTCCTCTAAAACTTCTGTAGACCTACATTTCCGCTGCTTCGAATCTCTTTGTCATCTTTGAGGAGATTGTCAAACATTTACTGTCATATAGAAGGACAGATATTGTGTAACAGTATTCTTTTTTTTTTGTTGTTGTTGTTTGTAACGAAATTTTTCTGTTTCTTAATACACTGCTTAGCTTTTGGAAGGCACCTTTGGCTATCCCAATACGCCTTCGGGTGAAAAAAAATTCCCATACACAATTTTATTTTTTACCAATTTCCGCTAACTAGGCAATATTCTTTGAGAAACAAGGAACTTGGGCCAGAAAAAGGGTTATCCATGTTGCGCATAGAACATTTGAGGGTCGCCATTCCCTTATTTTTCTTATTTATACGAAATGAATAGAGAAAGAATAATAAAAATTAAAGAAAGAGAAAAATGTAAGAAAAAAGACAGGCATGTTCATATTCACACGCACACACGCACACGTACACACACATACATACAAACACACACACATACATACAAACACACACACACATACATACATACACACACACACACGTTAGGCACCTCTACGTAGTGGACTGGTTAGCAAACTTGTCTCACTAGAACAGTTACAATTAAGTAGTGAGTTCAGTCCTCACTAGGTGCCCTATAATTTCAGACTTGTGCCACATCTAAGCTACGTTGAAAAAATTCCTATACCCGAGCCTCAAGTTGAATTCCTCTATACGATCCATTGCTAAAGATGCAGATAAGATGGTTTCCTTCATGTACCTGATTCCTCGTTCTATCCTTTATATTAATAAGAGCCAGGCTAGACCAAAAATGGAGAACTGTTGCCATATACGGACAAGACCTGTCCAGACCTGAGTTCAAAACCGTCTCCGAGTCATTGTTGGTGGAAAATTATTTTCCACGATCCAACCTCTTTTATTTAAGTACTGTCTGCTATGTAGTGCCATATTTACTTACTCATAAAACATATTTTCTTCCTGTAAAATATCTCCAAAAGCCACCTTGATTCCTATAAGTCGAAGGTTGGTAATGAGAGTTATCTTTTCTTCTAATTATTCCATTCTAAATTATCTTTCTATGTGCTATGTCCTTTCAGAACGATCATGATTCTCCACCTCGCTTTATCCCTTGC